AAATAGATGTGTATGTTCATATTGTTGTATAAGGGTATACAATAATTATAATAATTATTGGTTTTTAATTGCAGTGGTCTTAATGAGTTACCTCATTCAGGCATCAATTTTGTTCAGGTAGGTCGAGTACTATGAAAGCATAGCTAAATGCTATAGATTGAAGTAGAAGGGTAACAGTATAGCCAAGGATATAATGCTATAAATGTGTTTAAGTTAAGCAGTGTGTGAACTGAGATAAGGGTTCACAAAGTTGAAATCAGAGTTCAAGCTTTGTAATGGAGTACATAATTGGGCTAGCCTGTATGTGGGGTTTAAGTCTCGGATTTTTTACTCTGTTGACAATTTTGAAATTTACTTTTTCAATCTTTATTGACTCTCCTTTCCTGACACTGCCTTTGAAGTATCTCTAACTGTAATTGTGGGGATGGGGAAGTTGTTTGAAATCTTTGTGGTCCAGCAGAGGGGAATGGGTGTTAAGATTTGATAGTCAGTGAGAATAAAAACCCAAACAAAATTAATGCCACATTTTAGTTATGCCAAATTAAAATAATAAAGATATTACTTTGAAGATCATTTTTTTAGATTACCCTGTTGTGTTTTAGGCCAGGTAGGCAGCTAAGAAGCACCCAACCAGGCAAACATCCCACTCCTGATGGGACAGAGGAAGAGGAAGGGAAGAGTAAAAGCAATAAGACTTGGGTGTCAAAATTAAAAATGTTTAATAAGTGAAGGAGAATTGGAAGAATAGAGGGAAGTTGGAAAAGGAACAAAAAAAAAAAAAGAAAACAAAAAAAAAACCCCCAAGGGATGATAAGGCAATCACTCACCATGTCATACAAGTAGGCCAGTGTCCAGCCAATTTCCAAGCAAAGATGGAATGTAACTAAACCTCTGATTTTCTCTTTTGTGGCTGAGCATGGTGTTGTATGGCATGGAATGTCTCTTCAGGTAGTTCGGGTCACTCGCCTGGTGACCTCTCTGGTCAGTCTCCCCTGAGCCTCCTGCATAGGCCCAGTATCTATTTGGGGGGGGGGAGGGAACAGTAAGAAGGAGAAAGCCTTGGTGCTGTGCAGACTGTTCAGTGAGAGCTAAACCATTATTGTTATTAGCATTGTTGCAGTTACAAATATAAAATATAGAACCTTAAAGGCTTCTATGAAGATGATTTCCTCTACACTAGCTTGGCCCAGTACATACCTTTCTGGTAATTTTCCTTCCTTTTTTCCAGTCTTGTTCCTAGTCAGGAGAATAGACTGAAAGAGCTTCCTAAGACTCGTGAATCCTGGGTATCCTGGGAGACAGAAGAAAAAAAAAAAGGGGGGGGGGGGAGAGGGAGTGGAAGGCTCAGGTTTGATGATTAGGAAAGTGGTCAGCGTCAGCAGAGTCAGGATATATATTCGTGAATATGGATAGTATTTTAGGCCCAATGTGAAGAATTATTTTTCTTTTTTGTTCACTAGTAATGGGACAGAAAACGTCTGAGTTTCACTAGCTTCAGAGCACTGTTATTGTTGAATTTTGCCTGAAGTCTCTCCAGGTATAACAAAGAATTTGAAGTTTAGGATAAAAGTGTGTTACTCAGGTACTCACAAACCTGATACCATGAAGTCAGTCACTCAGATTCAAAATTAAATGGTTCTGTTTAAAGGCTCTTCAGAATTATTTTACCTCAGGAAATGTTCCAACACAAAGTATATCAAGTTAACAGCTCAAAACTATTCCGTTTGAGACCTCCTGGGATCAGTGTTTAAAGAAAGTGTATTCAGTTTGCCACAAGTGTACTGTAAAGTACATCTTTGCCAAGTATGTTGATTCAGGCGTTTGTAAACAGAGTTCTCACTGTACTGTTCCCTCATTAACTCAGACTAGGCACCTCTTTTGAGTAATAACTCAGTGCTCTGACAGAATTGGTCTAGTAAGCTGTCTTTCAAAAACGAGTTCCTTCTTTCCTTTAAATAAAGGCAGATGTGAGTCTGATTGTCTTTTCTTCAGTAGGTGAGTTGATTACATCACTGTCCAAAGTATATACGTGCTTATATTTGAAAGGGCTTTGGCCTTCACATTTGTGCAGAATGTAGTGTTGTCAGCATGTATCCAGTGTGGTGTTTAATTGGTTGAGCCTCTTGGTGAAGAAAATCCTGAAATACAGTTGTGGTTTCTTCAGGAGTTGATTTGATAGCAATTTGTCATCACTGAGAAAGTGAGCTGAAACAGACTTTTGTTCAGTTGAACTGCAGTTGTTCATTTAGGGATGTTTCTGTGCAGCGATACCTCAGAAATAAAAAGTACAAGTGCAGACTACTTTTTTTGTGATTGAAAGTGCCATATTTCACTTTATCCTTGCTAGAAATGCACACCCAATCAGTTACCCAAACCTGGAATGTACACCCCAAAGTTTGACCAGCAGTGCTGTGATAGGCAGTAGTCACTTGCGTGTATTTCATACAGTAGTCTGAAGTTTCTGAAGCTCCATAGAGTTTAAAAGTTGCCATCTTAGGCTTGATCATCCAAGTCATTTTGTGAATGAAAGCGTGATGGCCCCATTTGCCAGTTGCTACTGACATCTTTATCTTTCCTGTCTATTGCAGTTATTTGTGAGAATTATTTATAGGGTGTGGACATGTAGGAGCTTTTCTGTTGGTGATCATTTTAAGTCTCAATAGGCCATTAACTTTCCTTGGCAGTCAAATCTCACACATCTTATTTTAAGTCTTGACCTGTGATTTTACTTACTGATGCATGCTATAAGTGCTAGAATTGGGAAATGTTGGGTGGAATCTATGTGAAGTTTGAGCTTAGCTTTAGGTTTCACTTTCAATCTCTGAAAATGATTTTATAAAAACTGAAGCAGGAGTTAAAATCTTAGGAGAGTCTTCTGTCATGTGAAAAATAAAATGCTTGTATTGGTTTGTCATAAAGTTAGTGAAATTCTCCTATAGAATGCTGTACCTGTGCGTTGACTACATGTTTCTATTCTGAAGTGTCTTTTGCAAGTCTGGTCTAATGCATAATCAGAAATCTTCTACGTACAGATTTGAGAATGTCATCTTGTTTCTAGAAGTGAGAGTGTAAAAGATGGAGTGACCCTGGATGTCAGTGTTTCAATATTTTTAAAAGATTAACTTTTTCAATTACAATTTCAAATATTTATTGTCCAAAATATTAGTTTGAGAAGACATCTGCGGTTAAACAATTGCCACTGTTTTAGGATAGTTTCCTATTGTAGCCTTAAGTGGCAGTCTACATTTCCCTTTTTAGATGCTTATGCAGTTGAGGGTCTGCAGCTTATTCTACTAAGCTACTGGTGGTGTTTGTGCTATGTCATGTTATGGTAAAGTAGTAACATCTAGCTTTGGGGACTTCTCACAAGTACAGAATAGATGTGCTTGCTACCTGAATGGTTGCTCTTACCTCTTCTGAGGAAAAGAGTAAGATATTTTTGTGTCTATCTGTGAATACCTTGTGTATGTTAGTTTGAAACCCTTAAACTATGTAGTTAGTACGGTCGTGTATTCTGTGAGCTGTAATAATTGTTTTGGTGAATACCAGAGTCTTTTTTTATCAGGGTAAAATTTAAGCAGTGTTGTGTATAGTATGATCTTTGTTCTCTTAAATGCACTTTCAAGCGTAAATTCCCTTGGTGAAAGGAAATTCTCTGCAAAATGTAGATTTGAACCAATGTTTATTAAGTATATTCATAGAATGGTAGTGTGAATGCTTTAAATGAAAAGTAAGGAATGCCTCATTTGAAAGATTTACATGTCTGTGTGATGTTGTGATTTGCCTTGTCAGAGTAACTGAAGACTCTTAGTTACTTCTAAAATTCCTGAACATGATATAAACAGTATAATTTGTAAATTTGATTTGATTGATGCGTTATGTGGAATGTCAAAAACCTGCTTTCTCCATTCAGAATTTGTTTAGAGTGAAATAAATGCTGAAAATCTTCTAGCAGTTCTTTGCTGAGAAACCAGCATAAGAGCACTTATAAAAGAAGCAATCTGTAGATACGTCTGCCCGGTTCAGGTGGTGCCTGGAGTCTGTTGTTCCCTTCCACCCTTCACTGCAATTTGGGCTATTTTTATAGGTTATTTGGTGGGCCAAATAGGGCATGTCAGTAAAGATTATGTAAGTGTTTTATGTTTTGAAAATCTTGACTGAGAGTGCAGTTGAAGAAATTTGCAAAAGAGCAGTGATTTTATTAACATTAACATCTTCCGTGTCACTTCCTATTTGGTCTTTCTGGAAAAATATGAAATGTGATAATGGTTCAGATTCAGGAACTAGTTCATTTGATGTCTGTCCACAGTCAGAAAACAGTTTTGTACAGGTAATGTTTATGATTGCATTTTTGATGGTATAACATAGATACCAAGGCAGGTTTTCTTTAAGAGTGTTAGGAATAAGAAAAGTACAGTAACTTCGTCTCTTTATTACCTTCAACTGCTTATTTCCAAATGGACTTGTATTAATATTTTCCTACAGGAAGTAATTCAAGCATGAAGGAACAGTTTCATACAAAACTGGATAGCTTCGTAACCTGTAAATGCAATATTCAACTGAATTAGAGGGTTATGTACTAATTTTGTGCTTGAGCAACTTGAGGTAAAACATTTACCCAAGTCTGGAGGGCTTTTTTAATATAATGAAGGATTTTGTAAGTAAGAATTTATACTTTGAATTGTTATTTACACTTTATCTATTCACTTAATTTTTTACTTCATGAAAGTAGTCTGTTGGGTATTACAACTTAACCAACAGTTTATATAACACCACCCCTATGATAATTTAAAAGTTAACATGAAGTTCAGTATACTCTATTTTAATAGAGGACTTGTTCCAGTATTTGGAGGTCAGTCCTTTTGAAGTTATCTTGGAATGATGGTTTGGAACTCAGTAACCATATTTTACTTTTACTGTAAAAAATGACTTTATGAAAAAAATAAATTTACTATTCTGAAAGATTGACTTGTTAATTTTTTTTTCATATACTATAGGATATGTTTTGGCGTTGCAGACAAAGTATCTTTGCTGAAATGAAGAAGAAATTTTCACAGGTAGATAGATTAAATGAACTTTATAAAATGATAACCATTATACATAGTAACAGCACGATGCTGTAGCATTTATTTCTTAACACAAGCATGAACTATTGAATTTTTTGTGCATGTTCTTTAATACAAAGATTATGTACATATTAAACACAGTCTTGATAGCATTTAATTGAAGCTGTTCAATTCAAGAAGCTTCAAACTGAGTATGTGCTTACATGCTTTTACACTGGTGTGGGGGGATTCGGCCCTCTAGTATTTCATTTAAAAAGTGGAATTGGGTAGCTGTCATAATATCTTGGGTTATGTAATGATTAAAATTAAGTTTTGTGTTTACTTTGTGGACTTGGTTTGATAACAGCCTGTCAAAATAGTTTAGAGGCCTATCAGTGGCCAATATTGCCTTTTATGCTATTTTTACAGTAAAGTAGCCACAAACAAGATGTTTGCATCATTGTCTGATAGTTCAGATGGCATGTGTGAATGCTTGCCATGAACAGATTGGAGCTGAGGTTATTTTTGTTTTATTTACAATTAGCAACTTGAAGCAGTGGCATGATGAACGATAGCTTAAACCCTTTGCTGTACTAACCCTCAGTTAAACCAATTCAGTCTGTCAGAATTCCATTTGTGAACAAGGAAGAAAGGATTTGTCTGACATGGAACATCCAGCAACTCAACTGGCAAATCTTCTGTAATTTGTTCAATTAATGTTATTTCCATCCATCAGATACTATGTATCTAATTATTTTCAGTAGAAACTCCAATTTATGTCCCAGCTGATTCACCTTGTAAGGCAGTGGAAAAAGTGAGTGGGAGAAGTTCAGTGTATTAGCTATCTTCTGCAGAGAGGAGGGAAGCTAAGGTATTGGTTATATAAAGGCAGTAGGACAAGGAATTGAGTCTCCAGTGGAGAACTTTTATTCTTGATGTGCTCATATTCCTGACATGACAGTAGCAGGTCATGTTATAGGATAAGTACAAAATTAATATGGGAATCACTAAATCCGAGTTAACTTACATTTTTCTATATGCTTATTTTAACTTATGTTATCTTCTCTGTACTGTTTATAGAGGAGGGTGGGCTTCCACCCAGAGCAAACCTCTACTGGAGAATCTGAGTCATAAGTGTAGGTTGATATTGAGTTTGTTGTTTTTTAGCTGCTGCTGATCTTCTCCAGAAAAATCAAGAAAGTAGACCACTGAAGCAGCTTCCTCTTCCCTTTTGTAACCACACAATGAAAGAGACAAATTGTGTGCTTTTTGCTTAGAAAAACAAAACAAAACACCTGTGTTGTGAAATTTAAAGGAAAGAACCCAGGAGAAGTAATCACCGGTGAAATTTAATGTTAGTCTACTCAAGTACAGCTCTGCTTGTCTCTGTGGGTGCTGTGGGTGAAAGTGCAGACATAATTTGTCAAAATGACTTTGACTTCTAAAATGTGTATTCTTAATGTGTGGTTAAAGTGTTTCAAGAATAGTTGTTAGTTGTCTTGGAACCTACAGTTCTTCAGTAAAGATTAAATGTTTGAAGGTGAAGTGTTGCAAATTTGCTGGAGACTGCCTTTGAGCATGCAGGTAATCAAGATTTCCATACAGGTTATTACATTTGATAAACTTAAAGAAATTGGACTTCAAAGTCTTAAGATAAATTGCATTTTAAAACAAACTAATACAGTACAGATTGAGTAGTGTATTGTTTTATTTGCCCCTCTCTGACAATGATTCTCTGATGATGATAGGAATAAATGTTAACCAGCTAACATTTTATTTTATAGTTGCTTGAAGGCTGTCAGCTAATCTTGAAATTTTGTAAAATGAAGGGATGCAGCATCAGCTAAAAATGTCTCTGTTCTTTTCAAAAGGGTTGACGATGTAAGGGCCTGTACCACTTCAGTGGTGGTGATCTATGTTGTGACGCTGACTGTGTAGAAATACAAGAGATGCTGAACTTTTTAGATCTTCTTTGTAGTTCTTTATTCTCTAGGAGATGCTTATGATGTGCATGGGACTTCTAGTGTGAACACAGTTCTTGCCATTTATTAATGAAAATCATGATAGCACTGCATGTGGCTGCCTTATTAGAAAATATGCTCTTTAGCCATGGACTGAGATATGGGTGCTCTGACAAGCTGCTAAGCTTTCTAAGCTGCTAAGGCTTTCTGTGTGCTACAACTTGAAAGTCCTTGGGGAGTAAGTTAGTCCTTTTACTGATCTGATGCTTTCTTGTGTGGCTTGTATTTAAATGTTATTCCTTCTTGTTCTACAACTTTAGAAATTTCTTTCAATTTAGAAAATGGGTTGATGGTGCTTATATCTTTGACTTTCTGAGTTTTCAGTGTTGGGAAAATGCCGTTTTCTTGGCGTACCTGGGTCTGTAAAATTTCACCACAGTTCTATTGCCACCTTCATTGAGAATTGTTACTCCTCTGTTTTCAGGTATACTGAAGTTGCTGTTTAGAATCTCTTTACCTTGTCTAGTAGCCATTTGGGCAATGTTAATTTTTTTACTCTATTCAGGCAGAGGAATTTCTCCTGTGACTCACACAGCAGTGAATTTGGTAGAAGAAAGTTGGTAGCTTGGTTATGAAACTTTGTTTAATGGTCAGCTTCCAAGATTATTTAGAACTTTACAGATCATCTGGGCTTTATTCCTAAAAAATCACAGAAGGTGTACTTCTACCTCAGCAGGTTTTATGATGATGTCAAATCAAAATATGACCTTGAATTGGTGATACGAAAATGTGTTCCTCATTTGAAGCAGTCTTCTATCTGCTTACTGGCTGGAATTCTTGAAGAACTTGAGTTTCTCTCTCTATATGGTGATCCACCCATACAAATTCCTTCTTATTCTATAAAAATGAAACTTTTTTTCACATGTTTTACAAAACTAGTTATTAACTTTCTTATACCTGATTTCAAAAATAAAGTCTGGTTTTAGAATTCTTAGGTTATGAAAATATACTACATTATATTGCAGAAGTCTTGTTTTGATTTTTAAGTTAAACTCCAAAATACTCTTAACTTTACTCACAAATAACAATTGCCTGCTGTCATTTCAGGTGGAAAGTGCTGCTGAGGAACCCAGGGTGTTATGTATAATACAAGATACCACAAATTCCAAGACAGTGAATGAGCGTGTTACCTTGAACTTGCCAGCTTCCACACCACTTAAAAGGCTGTTTGAAGATGTGGCTTCAAAAGTGGGCTACGTGAATGGAACTTTTGATTTAATGTGGGGAAATGGATATAATGTAATTGATACGGTATGGTAAAAGTGCTTTTTATTTCCTCTTGATAGCAAACATTTAAATGTTCACATTGTGTATAAGTGCTATCTGTATTGCATAGTGCTCATTTAATTGCTGTAAAAAAATGTGTAGTAGGTGCACCAGCGCAGACTGACACGGCTATTTTGATTTGGCTGAATTTTATTTTATATTGTATCTACATTTTACTCTCAAAATGTGCTCTTAATTGATATATGTATTTAATCGTTGAATGAAACTAACATGATCATCCAGATGTAGTGCTAGTTTTCATTATCAGTATGTATTTTTAATAACACTCATGATAGTTAATCCCCTTTGAAGTCTGTGATCTGTTGGATATTTTCTTCCTAGTGTGTCAGAAGCTACTTCAAGAAATGTACTTATGTACTTTGTCAGAATCTGTTAGTTACATATAGAACTTTTGTTTTTTTAAAAAGTGTGTGTTTTGTTTGGTTTGGTTTTTAGCAGACTCCAATAGATCAGAACAGTGACAAAACTATTCTTGATGCTGGTTTTGAGCCAGGGAAGAAGAACTTTCTGCATTTGACAGACAAAGATGGTGAACAGCCTCATATAATGCCGGTAAGTAAAATGTTCACTCAGCTACATAAACTGTACTGTTGGAGTGTTCTGTATATTACTCTTGGGAGGTGGGAAAAATAAATAAAATTGGGCTGCACGTTTCATACAATAGACTACTTCTGGACCCTTCTCAACAGACTTCTAGACTACTATTTTACACTTCCAGGTTTCTCCTGAGTAGGATCAATTCCATTAGTAATGATTTGCTGTCACTTTTTATTCATGCTTGTCAAATATTTATGTAATGCTTTACTGTGAGCAATTTTCTAAGGTTATATAATTAATTAATTTTTGACTTATTTAAAGGTAGGTCTTGACAATAGAGCTTTAATCATCTACCTAATCCTTTTCCTCTGGGTGTTTGAAAGCAATACTAGGCCACTCGTACAGAAACAGTAGTCCTGTATCAACAACAGTTACCTGATTCCAAATTTACCTTTAAGAACAAAGTAAAAGCTAAAAAAAAAAAAAAAAGAAGAGTTGTCAGAGTTGCTAGAAGCAGCTGTCTGCTATAACAAAATATTTGATATTTTCGTTTTCTGAAATATTATGCAGTGAAAGATTTAACACTGCTGCAGTTTTATTAAATCAGGGATTGGATAGACTATTGATACATTAGGATTCGTTACTCAACTCTTAATAGCATACTATTGGGCTGCTTAGCCTTTGTTGTGCCTGAGATCAGAATTTGAGAGTGATTCTGAAAGAATATTGAATTGTAATTTTTATATTGGGGGGTGGGGGTTGGGTGGGGGGAAGCCTCATTCTATTTTTTTCAGGAGTCCTAGGAGATGCTTAACTGAAAACTTACTTGCTTGTATGTATTATGGTACTACATTTGATTATACAGTATTTTAAAGGGCATTTGTTTCCACTAATGTGTGAAGAACCATTTTTCAAGGGCTTGAGAATTTGGAAGGCAGAATTCAAATTACACAAGCAACTGTGTATCTGCAAAAACTTGTGTGATACTCTTAGCAGAATTGATTTCTTAGCCATGAGATCAAGGAGTAAAACTTGTAGGTGTTTCAGTAAAAATTTGTTCTCTGTTTTTTGCATAAAACATTGTGTTTATGTTTTCAGGAGGAGTTGGGTTCAACCGATGACAGTGTGCAAGACAGATTTGTAGGCCCTGTTCCAAGAGAAGGCTCTGCTGGCTGTACCAATGACTATGCCAGTCAAAACTATTCTTATTCTTCAGTCCTGAGCAAATCGGAGACAGGTATAGCATTCTCTCCTGTAAGGAAATGCTAATTTGTAATTATTTTAGCATATCTTCAGATAGCAGCACTTGATCTTTGAAATAAATTGCAATTTATTTTTAAACCCCTGCATCAGTACTACATTTTCCATCATGTTTTGTACAATATTCTTGTATCACTTTAGGCACAAGAGCTGTATCACATCCTTTTCTTAGCTGGGACAGTGCAATTCAAGCTCTCTGTCAGGGCCCTCCGTTTCAGTGGCCCTAGTTGAGTAGTCAAGACTGTATTACCAAAGACTATTCACCTCAAGCTGTGTGTTCACTCTCAGTAATGAGTTCTTGATACTCTGTTACAGAAGGGCTGTTGCCAAATTTCTGCACTCCACGTGTTAACTGAAGACTTCCTACTGTAGCCTCTCCTTGCAGTTGCTCTGCCTGGGCTGTGATTCCCTCCCCAGGAGGCTCATCCTCCACTGCCTGGCTCCCCAGGGCAGGCGCCTGCGTTGCGCTGCCTGCGGGGATTCCTGATATTGCATTTCTGGAGCAGACACAAAGATGCCATTGATATTACACCAATTCATGCATGTTTGAGGTTTTTTTTTGAAAGAGAAGGAAGTTCATCTAGCACACACCTTTTTTTATTTACTATAACTGTGAAGATAATCTGCATAAAGTAATAAATCATTAAAATACACATGTTCTAAAGTTTCTTCACAGAAGATGCCTGTTTTACATAGAGTAGCTGCCTTTTTGTTACTAGTATGGAACTGAGATTTTTTTTTTTAGTACTTCATTTCTTTATTACACTGTGCTTCAGTAAATGCTCCTTATTTATCAACTGGTTTTAATATGATATAAGTAAATAATTTTCTTTTCCACTAATAAAAATGACACTAGTTTTTGTTAGGTGTTTTAATTGGTTATTATGGGACTAGCATTTAAAAGCTATGTGTGTGGGGGCACTGCTGAGATTTTTTTTTTTACAGTTCTGAAATGATATTACAAACCAATATAGATACAAATTATGTTCACACTGTGACAACAATATTTCTAGTTGACATCAGGCAATAAGTAAGCTAGTATACAATTGTTTCTTCACAAATTCTTTTTTTTCCTCTACACTATTTAAATCTGCTATTAAAATGTGTAGTTACCCATGTTCCCGTTAATACAGTATTCAACATTAAATCTTTGTTGTTAATATGACACATAGTTCATGATCAATAAAATAGTTTTGTGTCATTCTGGGAAATTATTTTTGTTGGGTAAATTATTACTCTGGTCTCAGAAATGAAAATGTTTATTATTCTCTCAATTTTTATAGTGTAAATAACAAAAATGAAAACAGTTGGATGTAATTCTTAAATATTATCCCAGAATTATTTTCTTGTCAAATATTTTAACTCTTAAAGTGATTTTCTGTCTTCTTACTTCATTTCCCTTTATTTTCATCTTATTCTCCCTGTATTTTTAGGTTATGTGGGGCTAGTAAATCAAGCAATGACTTGCTACTTGAACAGCCTTCTACAAACACTTTTCATGACTCCAGAATTTAGAAATGCATTATATAAGTGAGTATATATCGTCCAAACCTGTTCTAAAATTTGTGCAGGTATATATTTGTAGGTGACCTGTTTGAATTCCTTCTGTCAATCCTTGTTTGGATACTGAAAAGCATACTTGGATGACAAGCTGGATAGACTACTATAAATTATAGCTGCTTAAAAGCTTTGGATTTTTAGTAAAATACTAAGATATGTTATTGTTTGTGGCATGGACAAGCTTTTTAAAGAATTTGATCCATCATGAAAACATGAAACTTGAAATTAAGTTTGATATTAAGTGCAGTTCATGTCTATGCTCGTGCAGTAAATGGCTTCAAAAATTACTTCATTCATGTTAGAGTTGTACATTTAAAGAATAGTATTGCTATTTACTGCTGAAATGGAAATCGATTTCATTTGACTTTTCCTAAGAAACAGAACTGCAGTTAACCTGTCAACTGGAAGGCTCCTTGAAACATAATAAATGCTGATTTAAATGCCTTCTTCAATAAGGTTTTCAAAGCATTTTTAATTGTCAAATATCTTGTGTTGTGAATAGGTGGGAATTTGAAGAATCTGAAGAGGATCCTGTGACAAGTATTCCCTACCAGCTTCAAAGACTGTTTGTTTTACTGCAGACCAGCAAAAAAAGAGCAATTGAAACAACAGATGTTACACGGAGTTTTGGATGGGATAGTAGTGAGGGTAATACGCAGCTATTGAGCTTGTCTCATTTGCTTCGGCAGCTTCTGTTAGGCACCTAAACTGCAGTTGATGGGGAAAAACACTGGAATAATTTAAAACAATTACTACAATCCACTTTGTTTCAATGGGAACAAAATAGCCTAAATGGATACTTTTTTTTGGTGTGTACTTTTAAAAAATTATGTCTTTGAGTTTAAGGCTGTTAAAGTACAAAGCATTATATTTTTGCAGTTAAGCTACCAATATGGTTGTTAATTGTTTCTAAAGATGTAACTCCTTATGAAACACTTGCATCAATTGTGTATTTGACATTTATGATTCAAATGTTCTACTTAAGTACAGAATAATATGGATAATTCCATAAAATAAAACACTGTATTTGTCTTTTTGACTCTTGTATAGTGGAATTTTGCTCCGTAACCTGCCGATCTTTTTATGGAGTAATTGCATGATGATTCAGTTGAAAACTGAGTTTTAGAGAATCAGCACAAAGTGGGAAATAAGTCATAACTAGTTTATTTTATAACAGTGCATAATAGTATTTCTGTGTTCTTTTTAGCATATGCTTGTTTATGCACGCCATTTTTTTTTCTTTTGTTGCATAAACATTGTGAGCAAGCTGACTGCTTGTTTTTCTAACTTAACTTGAGAGGCAGCTGCTTGTGGGTTTGAACACTGGCCGAATAGTGAATAATGTAGTAAATAATAGGTACCGACTTAAATTAGTAGCTTTTTAGGAGTTATTCTCAAGCTACTGTTAGCGTTGGGGCTAATAACATTTCTTGTTTTAATTAAGATTAATTTCTATTTCTAATAGCATGGCAGCAACATGATGTACAGGAGCTTTGTAGAGTCATGTTTGATGCTTTGGAGCAGAAATGGAAGCAAACAGAACAGGTAAGCTTATAAAAACTTTATTACATTCATTCAGTGGTGTGGCAGGTGAAGTTTTGTTTTTTCACAAACAATCTTAAAAAAAATCAAAAACATATAACTGAATTTTAAATACCAGGTTATTGAAAATATGCAGTATTTGCCATTTTTTTTTTTTCTTTGATGCCATAGTTAAGCTACTCCAATGTACAACTTTCAAGAGTCTGCAGCTTACGTTTTCCTCCCCCGATTAAAAGCTGAATATTCTGAACTTTGGATTACTTGGTCTTTATTTGAAGTGCAGAAAGTAGTTGTGCAAACCCTGTGATAGCTTTGTCCCTGTTAGTGTTTCTTAGGCTATGTTGGGGGGTCTTGAAGCTCAAGGCCACTCTGCTAATGTAGGAGAAAGTTAGGAGTATATGCCTAGCACATGCTGCATTCTGATGAAGAGGCCAGCTTGTTGTAGGCCAGTTTTCACAGCGTAGACTAGCAAATATTTCCTTTATTTCTGCACTTACTCTGGAGACGGGGTAAGGACTGCATCATCAATCTGAACAATGTCTGCAAGATGAGGCTTGTTTTTAAAACGTAAACATAAATTTTGCTAATTTTGTAGTTGCTCTTAAGACATGACTGTAAAGTGTGCTGTGGAACTGTTCTGCCAGTGACCAGGCCCAACAAAAATGATAGCACCAGCAGAAAGAGAATCCATTATGCAGACTGTATTATAGACAAGGACATTGCATGAATGATCGCTGGGGGTACAAACAGATCAATCAGCTCGTACATGATTGACGCCACCCCCAATGATCTCACAAAGGATGTAACTCAGTCCACAACAGGTGGTACAAACAGAGGCCCAAGTTTTCCCACAGTTGGCATGGGAAACAGCCAGACCAGCAAGCTAAGCACATAAGAGAAAGGTGCCCACATAGTGACTCTCACCCGATCAGCCCGCGTTCACAAAGGTCTAAACAGACTGGGGCCCAGCTCCAGGGAGAGTCAGGAGGTCTCTCCTGAACCAGGAAGCTCTGGGGAGTGCACTCCACAGAGCAGACACTCCTGACTCCCTGCCAGTGGTCCCAGCTTTTATCCCCAAGCAGCCCCCTGACCTTTGTCAACTCACTGCGGGACCCCTGGGGCTCATTTCCCTTCTGGCTCTCCCTGCAGGGCCGGCCGCGCCCTGGGGGGAAGCTCTAAGGCAAACTCACCCCCTCTGTATGAAGGGCTGTGGCAATCACCCATATGGCAACCTTAATTCGAGGGCTCGGAGTTCAGACCCCAGCATTTCAGGAGCTTATACAATGTGGTTTGAGGCACTCATATGATGTGTGTTTTCTGCAGTGCTGTGGCACAGGAAAGTATGACATCAAGTATGATCAAGATGTGGATGCTGGGGAGTCATATTCTAAATGTGTAGCTATGCAGTTAAGACAATTTTAAAAAGGTATTTTCTTCTAAAATGAAAGAAAGGAAATCTTTAATTTCCCTAAAACTCTGTTGAATATCTGTTTGTTTTAGGCGGATCTTATAAATCAGCTGTACCAAGGCAAACTGAAGGACTATGTAAGGTGTCTAGAATGTGGCTATGAAGGCTGGAGAATTGACACTTACCTGGATATCCCGTTGGTCATCCGGCCGTACGGCTCCAACCAGGCGTTTGCTAGCGTGGTGTGTACTATTATGCTGACTAATAGTGCATCCATACACACATAGAATACATAATGCGACAGTGGTATAATTTGTTACATGGTAAGTATCATCCTAGATACTCCATCTTGGGGTGTTCGTCTTTGTGCAGTGAACCAGCTAGCAAGTTCTAGAAGATTTTTTTTGGCTTTTTTGGGTTGGTTTTTTCTTTTTTTTTTTTTTTTCTTTTGCCCTTCAATGAGTCCTACTGGTGCATGTATAAGGGGAGGGGAAATGCAACTTCATTGCCTTAGGGCTGTAGTAATCAATTATTTTCTTCCTGATAAAATCTTCAGCATTTACTCAAGATATTTTTGTGAGATCACTAAGTTTTATTTGGGTTGTTCTCTTTATTGGCACATCTGCTAAATTTTCATAGCATTGTTGAAAATCTTAGTGAAAGAACAGAATGTTGACTTAAGATTTTTAGTTTAATTGCCATGTTGTTGCTGCGCTTTTTAAAGTTCACTTCTCAAATACCATATGCTTTTAACAAGCGATTTAATAATAAAAAAATCCCATTATATATCAGTGTTCTTGGTCACATTTGCTCCAGCATTACTGATGTTGGCAAGCATATACATTGGTTAGTAAACCTATGGAAATTTTTTTGGGTTATTTTTCCACACCCCTGAAAGGAAGTGATCATAAACTGTGAAATTCCACTGGATGAAGTTGTAAGAAAGAATAAGAATTCAAATGTGTCTTTCAGTAAAGGTTGTTTTAAACAAACACTTGTTGTGTAATTGGCTTAACAGGATTAATTATTATAGAAAATAGTTTTCCTTTTGTATTTAGTATGTTGGCAATATTCTTTAATCACTAATAATCTGTAATTCTTAACAGTAATTCTGTTAAGAACTGTTGGGATTAGGTTAAACAGTAGTGTAGGTTCAAAGTACTTCATACTTTAAAACTGAATACCGATTTTAAGAAGCAATAAGGATGAGGGACATTGATCTTACAAAAAGGATTCAAGTTAGTAAAGTCCTTTGAGTTCTTTTAAGAACTGTCCAGCTATTTGAAGCTGGATTGATATTTTATGTACTTGCCTTCCCTTTTCACCTTTTAAAACTTGTTTCTAGAAATATTCCCTATACCAACATTTTTGTTGTATTTTTATTCATTAATGACACTTTTCTTTTTAAAGTAATTAAAACTATTCAATTTATGTAGTTAATATTCCGCATTTAACAATGCATTGTACGTTTGTCTGAAATTTTTTTCCTTTAGTAGAGAAGTCTAGTGGAATGCTAAAAAAGGACTTTGTATATTTGTAAAAACACAGAAAGCTTTAGTGATTAAAATCTTTTAGTAGTATTTGATACTTTTGTAAATCAGCATTTACTGGGTTTACTACACTGAGGAAAATAGTATTAAGATTTTTTTGTGACACAGTTACATGGTTGCAATTTGTATTGATGCTTCAATTTTTGAGCCTTTTTAATTAATATTCTAATTATATTCAGTTGATTCTCCTCCCTGCATTTGTATTATCTATAGCAGATGTAATTTTTAGTTTTGTAGTCTTCAGCAGTGGGGAGATATGGAGGATACTTGCTTTTGGAGAAGGGAAAAATCGCCTGTTTCTAAATGGAATTCTCTGAAGGTAGTATCCTCCATTGATCCATAGATATGATGGTGATTTAATAGGTGTAGGTAAAAGGGTATGAGTGAGAGATCAAAAACTTCACACATGCGCTAATAGGGCTTATAGAAGGGAATGTAAAACTTTTGAGACCTTGCTAGTCAGCTCCTGAGGGAACTTGCAGCAGGCGACACAACCCAAGATAGGGGATCTAAGGAGGATACTACCTTCAAAGAACTCTAGTTAGAGGTAAGTGATTTTCCATTACTTTCTAATAAGAGAGAATGGATGTATGAGTTTGCAGTAAGGTTAATCTGTAGAATGCCACATAAAGTGTATTATCCCACTGTTCGACATTGTGTACTGCCAAAAAAATGTTGATACCTGAAATGTTGCATTTAACTATATATATGTATTACTTCTAAGTACATGGGAACATTGAAGAACTGGGAAGGATAATGTTATGCTTTTACTGCCTAATATGAACTAATTCTGAAATTTCTTAGCATGTCTTTAAGGTTTGCACTTTTGAACTTTTTATTCTGATTCCCCACTCCATCCCCCAATTTCATGTAGTAAGGCTACATATCTACAAACTCATTAGGGCAGCTCTAGGGCACTGAGAACTTACTAGTATGTATCTCAAGTTTCTGAAAAAGTACTTATACTATCTGCATTATTTAAGGGTGCTGTTTAAGTAAACCTGAATCAGTCTTTTCTTGAGGTCAGTAGAAATACAGATATAAAAATATATAGCTTATTTCAAGGGGGGTAAACAGAACCAGCAATTCACCTGCATGTTATTGTAGGTGCCAGTATCTTTTGTATAGATGCCTGAATTTTAAAAAATCTTCTTAGATGATGTCTAATGTTGGTGTTTTGTCTACATAAGGAAAATTTTGCAAGAACAGTTAAGAAAAGAGTGGATGCAGTGGGGAATTATCTGTGATGCTGAAATTATTTTACTAGAAAAAAGTGGAAATTTCTTTGTAACACAAATAGACTAATAATAATACAAATATTCTGGAGATGCACCAAGTACAGTTCTGTTTCATTAAGTGTTGCTAATTGTCACAAAGTGTTAGCTTTTCTTTTGAGGGTGTAAATATGCATACAAGTAGACCTTTCTTGGGCAGAAATTTGGACTTCTGTGTGAAATCACTTTGTGTTGTCATTGGCAAACTAAAACTGTTGAGGGCAGTTAGAACATGGATGATACGATATTTACTTTTTTTAAGCTAGATTGGTAACAACAGGATCCTGCATTTTTATGTGAGCATGTTCTTTGGACATGGGAAAACTAGATGAGCTCTGAAAATCTGCGTTGGCAATTAGTTTCTAGTTTTGTCCAAGAACAGTTTTGCCTTGCTATTTATTGTGTAACTTTCCGTAAACTTTCTACTGCACCTGTTCACACGTTTTACAATTTTTACATTTGCAAATGCTTGCAGCAAGATACCTGTTAAACTACTGACTATATCATAATGCATTTTTGTGGAGAAGAGTCTGAAGTGCCTATCTTCACCCAGACAATAACTAGATTGCACTGTTTGTTATTGCATTTTAGTATGCTAAGTGTTACAAACCTCATAATCACAATATTAAAAACTGGATATACTCAGAACTTGGCTGGACAAGGCCATGAGCAGTGTCCTGTAAGCTGGACCTGCTCTGAACAGAGTTAGGATCAGGTGGTCTCCGGAAGTCTCTTTCAGCCTATATAGTGCTTTTGATTTGGTGAACTGTTTAAAAAAAAAAATCTAAATGGCGGTTGTCATATTAATCAATTGCCTGATCATTTATGGTATATTTTGAAGCATGTGTGTATTTGGGAATGTTGGAAGTGCGTAGTGGTTCTAAGGCTACATATTAGTTATGTCTTCAAAGATAACAGAATTGCACAAAAATGGGGTATGTCGTGTGACAGGTTGCGCAGCGTAGAAAATTTGTCATTGATTTTTCTGACTAAACTGTCAGAGCAGAAAATGATGAACTGCATTAGAGTAGGAATTGTATTAAGAAACATCCTGATCAGCATAACTGACTGGTGTAAAGGTTATATAGGAGTACAGTGGAGAGGATACAAATGACTAAACCTGAGGAACAGTGCTGTTCCATGAAAAAGGATTGGAAAATACGTGAATATTCATATAGCTCGAAAATAAAATTGAATTCTGAAGAGTTTTAATTGGGTTTTTCAAAGCACAGCTCGCTATGTGAGATAAGCAGTGAAACTGCAAGAGTAACGTAATAATTCAGTTTTTGGGAGTCTGAAGGATTGTCACTTTTTTCCATGTGTAAAAAATGTATAGTATGTTTCCTTGTTAAACTGCACATCACATGAGTCTACGTAAGTATTACGTAATCATTTGTGTCCCATCATTGATATATTCCCATTCATTCATATTCATGTTGACACATGAATTGCAAACTTTTTCTTACACTAGAAATGTATTTTTATTTGTTAACTTGCATTTGATTCATAAGAGAGAGTTCTGTGGTCATTATGTGATGTTTTCTATATTGATTTCTGTGTATACTGACTGGTTTGCTTTCATTTAAAAAGTTCTGAATATTAATTCCTTGAATAGTCTACCAAATAGGCAAAGTGCAGTTATTTGGTCCTGCCTTTTTCTTTTTAAGCAGGATTGCAACTTGCTTAGTCTTCTTTCTTACACTTTAGATTGAAATTCCTCAAATTTTAGTGCATAATCTGTTGCCCTTTAGTTAAATGCAACTCAGCCTCTGTAGCATTTAGGAAGTAAATATATAGACAACAGCTCAATTCAAACTCTAAAATATTTTCATGGCTAGAGTCTCTCTGCCAAAGAGCTGTAATTTCAGGGCTGTTCAAAGGCTTTTCCGGCTGGATCCAAAAATGGTAGAGCAAGAGGGCTGACTTCAATGTACAGTTGTTCCATTGAGTTTGGCACATTTTTCATTTGTGAGTAGTTGTCACCTGGAATACAGTCCTTTTTTTAAAAAAGTTTTCTCCTAGAACAGCAACAAATCTTTTTGAAAAATCTTTAACTATTGTTCTTGCTGGTTCCCTGAGTTCTTACAAAGAAATAAGAGAGAAGGGAAGAATTGGAGGCTTTTTGAAGAACTTGGCACATCTTCGATTTCCTCCCAGTGCATGACATCTCAAATAACATGATTTAGATATTAAGTCTAAAGTTCTGTGCCAGCAATGTTACAATTAGTGAGTTTACTCTGCCCAGTTAGGCCCCTTATTCAGACTTCAGGGAACATCTACAGTTGTTTGTAAGAGACAATGTAAAAGCATTGTTTCTGTTGATCTTCATTGCTTTAAACTGAAGTCTAAATACCCAGGTTGGGTTTGTTTTCATGTCCATGTGCGAGCAGAGAACTTCTGGGTTCCACTTGGAGTTCATAAATCCAGTGTATCAGCTTGCAAGCTGGCTGGGTTAAAGATTTTAACTTTTAAAGTCTCTGAGTAAAATTCTTCATTGAACCCATCTCAATATTCTTAGTGAATTTTGTTTTAGTAAGTTTGTTGTCAAATATATACAACTTTTGTGCAATGTAATTGTTGCAAATTATTTTAGGGAGAGGACTAATGATCAGTTTGTTTGTATTTTGAATATTGTTTGCTGCAAAGTGGAGCAAAGTAGAAATTAAACTGCTGGATTTAAGCATTAGTGACAGAACTTTGAGGCAGCTGTCGGAGGATGAAATTCCAGTTGTTGGCCTGTTACCTCATAACATTTATACTAGGTTGCTAGTTCTGTCTTTGCAGGAAATGGCCATATCTGCTTCTTACTCCTGTGAGAGTGAATCTCAGATGCTCCCCCTCTGTCCTTTCCCCACCTTTCATTTCAATTCATATTTTCAGATGTACTTTCCTAAGTCCCTTTGTAGAATAGGACTTAGGCTGTCTTCAGGCAGGGCACTGAGGAAATGGGTAACATTTATTCGTGCCATGTGTCTTGTGACCATGTGTCCCCTCCAGTAATTATTGCATTATATCTGTTGGGAAAAATTCCTTGAAGTGCAGAACCACCATGTCAAAATTCTGTGAGAACAAGAGCAAAGCAGGGTTAAAAATAAGCTTTTCACAACAGTTGACTGAACAGACATGACTGAATGTGATGTGCAAGATAACAGGATTAAGTCTCATTTTGTGTTGTATGTTTCTTAAAACAAAAGCAATTTGGATTCATCAAATACTGAATGAAATATAGTTATGAGTAGTTGTGGTTTGACTGTTTAACCTCTGGCTGGGTAGAAAGGTTGGTTTCTCTTCACATTTTTCCGACTCTGTCTTCACCAAAGTTAGTCAATCAAATTTGGGTTGTAGATTTAATTGAAGTGATTTGTATGTGTTTGCAATCTCAGTGTAAATTTATGGTTCTGATTTATACCTACGTAGTAAACATTCTTTAAAAATCAGGTAACATCTTTTTGTTATCAGGAAGAAGCACTGCATGCTTTCATTCAGCCTGAGATTCTTGATGGCCCAAATCAGTATTTTTGTGAACGATGTAAGAAGAAATGTGATGCAAGGAAGGTAAAGACTGTCCAAATCATTTGCCAAAATTACTATTGGTATATACCAGTCCTGACTACCTAATGTTGTCTTTGTTTCATTTAGGGTCTGCGGTTCTTGCATTTTCCATATCTGCTGACATTACAGTTGAAAAGATTTGACTTTGATTATACCACTATGCACAGAATTAAACTCAATGATCGTATGACTTTTCCTGAGGAGTTAGACATGAGCGTCTTCATTGATGTTGAAGATGAGGTAAAGTGTTTGGTTTCAGACAAGTCTAACTTTCCTGAAGTTTCTCATTAAGAAAATTAAAGTGACAATCTGATAAACCCATTTTAACAGCATTGTTCATCTACATAAAGGGTTCTTTAGTCATGGCAGTGTTTTAGTTTGAAGTTTTAAAATCTGTCCACGTGGATTTATGTTACATTGAGAAGGAAACATGTTTTCTAATCACACTAGGGTTTCTATGCTGTTTCTGATTACTTTTATCTTCACATGAGTGATTCAAAAATACAGGTCTCAAGGTTTCTAGATACACTGCAAATTCAGAATGAAATGTATTTCTTAAACTTGTGTCTGAATCTGGTTTGTTCACAAGAAGTGATGTAAAATTTTGAATCTCTGAACACTGAAGTTTATCCAGAGAACATTAATGATTAATTCCTTCCCTCCGACTCACCATGTTTTGTACGCTGTAGAAATTAGAATATTTTTTTTTCTAATTTTATCTTTCACTTCCATCTTTTTGCTTTTAACTCTTCTGGTTTTGGCCAAAGTTCATGTTGTGCAATTACATTCTCCAAAAGGTTGCATGAAAATAATTCCTCTAATTCAATTTCTGAAAACTTTGTCACTTTGCTAGCTTATAGTGGTATATGCCAAATACTACACTGATATGCATATGGAGAGACTTTTCTGACTTTATATGTATACAAACCTTTGTATATGAAGTATGTCATTTAAGCAATTGGATACCTCTCAAAGTGTTGGGGGTGGTAGGGTGGTGGGCGTGCTGAGTGAGAATGAAGAGAGAGATCTGGGAGAATAGAACTTGAGACAAAATTAACAGCTGTCAGAAATCGAAAGAATTATCCAGAGGAAAGAGGATCGGGTAAGAGATGGATATATTTACTTGTACTCAATGAACTGTATTCATAGTGTTGCTGACAACGTGCTTTTAAACTAATAGAAGAGTAAGCAGTCTTACTGCAGTACCTTTAACTCTATCCAGTGAGTTGAAACTGAAAAAGATGTTTGACTGTGGATGAAAATATTTCTAGAGAAATCAGCTCTGATTGCGGTACAATAGGATATGTTGCTTGATATTAGACTTCCAGGTATTTAATTGAATTAACTAGTAAATGGAACAGGCTGGTAGCAGATATGGTCTTGTCAAGTATGGAATCAGGTAATTAACATTCAATTGCACACAATTCCAGACAACATTGATCTAAGAGGTAGTCTGAAGACTGTAACAAACAAATCTCTTCTCAATGCTGAGCTGCAGAGATCTGTAGGGTTTTGAGGAGTTTCATTGTTTTCCAAATTGTTATTTTTTTGTTTTGAAAATGTACTTTTATTTCTTGTTCTTTATAAGTTGAAATGTTGTATAATATTAGTATGCATGTGTTCATTTTTAAGAAGTCTCCTCAGACTGAGAGTTGCACTGATAGTGGAGCTGAAAATGAAGGCAGTTGTCACAGTGATCAGATGAGCAATGATTTTTCTAATGATGATGGAGTTGATGAAGGAATCTGCCTTGAAAGCAATAGTGCAGCAGAAAGAATTTCTAAAGTTTGCATTGAAAAGGTATGTTTAAAAAAAAAAAAACACAAACTTGTACTGAAAGCTGAAAGTGTTGATAGCACACCAATGTGTTAACTCTTGCTGAAAAGTGTTGGACAGCACCAGAATTGACCAGAGAGCTACTACAGGCCATATTCCCTGCTGTTGTAGTGTCATGCTCAGCAGTAAAAACTGGGGGTTTTCTCTGATTCTCTGTCTCACTCAAGGGGAGGAGTGACTGTATGGGTGCTCAATTGCTGGACAGGAAAAACCCACCACAAACAGAAATGATGCACATATAATTAATTCTGATACTGGGGGTGGGGCAAGGGGGTGGAGTGTGTATTTTTTAGCCAAATTCCAAAAACTGGCACTACAGCAAAGGAGAGCATCCAGCTGATTTGGAGGTCACCTCAGAATAAAGGTCTTTCCTAGCTTGTCTGATTGAGAATTCCCAGATAACTTATGGCAGCAGACCCTCAAACTGAAGACTGCGTTCTCTTGTGAGCAGTGTTGTTTCTTTGAGGCCAACTGTCAAAGGCCTACCAGCTTTGGCTGCAGAAATATCTTGTAGCTTAGTAGGAAAAGATTGCAAAGTTTTGATCAGTCTCTGCCATCCATTTCTTGTCCTTATAAAAAGGTCATATAGACAAAGTCATGGGTCTAAATGTTAACTACTCAGTGATATCAAGTTAATGTAAAGGAGTTGAGCAGTAAATCAGTTTGAGATAGGAGTCATTCTGTGGGACAAAGGTAGCAGAGATCTTCGAGAAACCTAATTGAGTGTTCTTGCCAGTACACAATCTTTCAAAAATCTGGGCTGTTACAGTAGCATCTACAATGTGTACTTCATGTGTGAACTCATCTGAAATTTGGCCAAGAGATTTTATTCAGACTTGTTAGGAAGCTGTTTGTCTGTAACTGCTACTTTCATAAATATATAAAGGCTAACCTACATAGTAATCTGCACATCTGTCCCTGTTTACATTTACCTTTAACTGAGAGGTTTTTTTGATAAATGTTGTGAATGCTGTCAATCTTAGCTGGAAGAAAAGACAGATGTTAATAGTCACTTGACTGCCACAGGGACTGAGTATTGTTATCTCTGTAATGCAGATGTCATGCCCTAGTGCCGACAGCTAGTTTGCCTTGAGAATAACTAACATGAATTAATTGGCCAAAGTTACTGTCAAGCTGTGTTGTTAGCTTTTTGGTTTGTATATCTTACTAGTGCAGTATATGCTAAGTATTTACAGAGCATTTCCTTTATACAACCTAAAAATATTTAATTCTTGAGCCAGTATTGTGGGATTTTATTTTTTAATGTATACACGATGCTGAAGGTATGTACTTAGTACCCTTTATCTCCATCCATTTATCTGTGAAAAGAAAGGTGGTTGGAAAAAAAAAAAAGGAAAAAAAAAAAAGGTTGACAGCAAACTCAGGGTAGAGTGAGAGAAGTTAATGCAGAGTGTTGATAAGCATTGAATGGTGTGGTGCCGTTCACAGCTGGCAAAATACGTTAAGAGTGCGAAGAAGGAAGATAGCAAATAAGCCTAAACTTTATAGCTCCAGGGAAGTTGGTCATTACTTCTGTTTCTCATGTGGAAATGTGTTTAATATCTAGCTAGCTAGGAGTTCACAAATTCAGAGTTTGTACAGAAATGTAGTAACAGTAATGCCTTAAGGCACTTAGAAAAATGTTTCCATGATTTTTTTTTTTTTTTCCCCCTTTGGTCTTTTCTCTCTCTGTTTCTCTCTCTCTCTTTTCCCACCAGCAAAAGGAGAAATTCCTCTCCACTTCCATTACTACACATTCTTATATCATGTGTAGTATATCAGAGCTCTGATTTTAAGTGTCTGTTGCAGCAATGCATTCCTGTTATACAGATCTGGTTCATAACTTATAACTATTTATATGTTTGGGTTTGTGTAACTGCTTTTAAACTTCTTAAAATTATAATTTAATTACCTTTTCTTTCCTTAATATATATTACACTTTTTTTCTTCTCTCCCCAGAATTCTTTACTGTATGAGCTCTTTTCTGTTATGGTTCATTCTGGAAGTGCAGCTGGTGGCCATTATTATGCCTGTATAAAATCTTTCAGTGATGACCAGTGGTACAGCTTTAATGATCAGCATGTTAGCAAGGTAAAAATAGTATTTTTAGTTATCTTGCATACTCATAAATGGACCAATAAGCTTCTATTTTGCATGTCATTTTTTCACTTACACATAATGTAACTGATTTTATGTGCAGGTATTTCAAGCATTTGCTTTGTTTCATCTTCTCATCCTAATGTCCTACCATATATAAATATGTTTCTTTCATTAGCTTAACTGATTTGTAGGGTTTTTTAAACTTATGGGGTTTTGTGTGTTGGGTTCAGGAGTGTTTCTTGGTGGTGAATGGAGGATGGTTCATAAAGAAGTCTTTATTCATGTACAGACTGGGCTGCATTTAGAATTTTGCCTTCTATACATGTGAAGAATGCTTCTTGCTTAGAGAAGTGTATTACAGCCCGGATTGTGCTATTGAATCTGTCCTGCTGATGTATTTCAGGTGTTACATATATTCATAAATATTATTGCAGTCAAGAACCTGGATATTGTTTTTCTAAGAAGTTCCTACTTCTAAAAGAAAATACCATATTTACACTTGCTATAAAATGGATAGGCACATCAATCTGAAGCCATTTTTTTTCATGTGAACAAATAAGCAGAAAAAAAATTTCTATTAGAATTATTAGTATTATGTTAATTATGTAATGCTGTTTTTCCTAATGATAATGAATGCATCTTGATTAATGCAAGTTTCTCAAATAATCATTAAATTGATTTTCTGTTAGATAACTCAGGAAGATATTAAGAAAACATATGGTGGATCTTCTGGAAGCAGAGGCTATTATTCCAGCGCATTTGCTAGGTTAGTAGTGCTGTAATCTCTCTGGTAGTGATTTAGTGTAATCAGATGAATGGCCAAGGTGTATGTGCTTAACCTATTAGCTTAAAATTGATGGTAGATGCTTCAAATAGTTGTAAGAACTATCCTGACTGCTGTTTCAGGTCATTAAAATAAGGTGATATTTACTTTTGAAAATCTGGTTAGTGTATTGTGAAGGTGTGTACAACCAAGCTTCTTACTGGAAAAAAAAAAAAAAAAATCAACTTTTGAAGTCAGTTTTGTCTTCCTATCTGATAAATTCGTATACCTATTCTCTCCACTAGCTCCACAAATGCATACATGCTGATATACAGACTGAAGGATCCAACGAGAAATGCAAGTAAGTGTGTTTTGCAGTTCTTAACTAGTAAGATTCTGTTATGGAATAAGGAGGTGTTTTACATGTCATGAGTAATATTTTAAGAGGATGGTGGTACTAGTATTTTTAGTGTAAGCTAGTGTAACTTTCATTTGGAAAGTATTTTATAGCTTTTCATTACACTTTTTGTAGTAATCCTTTATTGATCATTAGAAAGTCATCACAAAATAAATTTTCTAATTTTTTAGTATTTTGGATATCAGGAAAATACAGATATACTGGGTGACACTGAGTAAACTATAATACTATATGGTGCCATGATTGACAGTGGAATAACCCCACCCCACCCCCCACCCCTATTTTTCTAAAAATGAGTATGTAAGAATTTCATAATGACAAAGTTTTACACTTTATAATCAGCCATAATTATTTGTGTTTCAATTAGATGAGGTAATATATTATAAGTTATATGGTCAGAAACAAATCTTAGCTTCTCTGACTTTATTTTTTATAGTTTATCGAGGCCTTGTCCCAAGTAATAGCTGACAGGTTCATTCATCCTTGAAATATAATGCAGTGGAAAATGAAGATTCTATTTCAGTTCAGACCAGG